AGACCCGACGACGCTCAGTACTTTTGTGTTCTCGGACGAGTCTGGTAACGCTCATCCAGCTCCAGAATTATGGCAGATTCGCCAAGCCTAGGAAAGCAGCAAACTGGGATCGCCCGACTGTGGTGGTGCCCCGCTACTATCCTCTAGGGTGGTAAAAATTGAGAAAGACTTGTGCAATACGGAAAATGGCTATTTTGGTAGTCGCTAAATAACTTCACTTCTGAGTAAGTCACGAATTAGGAAGGTTTTTATGTTATAGACACTTTTTTGCCTCACTGCAGTAGTCTTAACTGTTCCATGCGTCAATTTTATGTAAGGCTTCATCTCTGCTCTATCTAGTAGATCGCCGATGATTCAACAATGTACGTGGATCAGAAGTTTTTATGGAAACACTCTACTCGGTGGTAGTGTCGTCAAGTGCTTTGTGAATGAGTCATTATTCAAAAAGCATGACCAGCTGTCAATATTTTCATGAGCCCTGCAAAAGAAGCTTTGCCTCCGATCTCAGATTCAGATCAACAGCTTCTTCCTTTCGAGTTGATTCAATCAGTCGAGTGAACCCCATTTTAGTGGGCTCCTCGTTATCGGGTCGGTTCAATCGTCTGAGAGAGATACCTTGATCCAGAACAGTTTCGAGTTGACTTAATCGTCTGAAAGGCATATCCTGATCCAAAACAGCGAGTTCTTGTTTTTCGGATTGATTCAATCGACTAAGTGAAATCCCAATTCATACTAATAGGCTTCTTAGAGCAGATCAACCTTCTAGGAATAGCATCGTCGGAGGAAGATGTGACTGCAGGATGCGACCCATTTGGTATGCTAAGCAGCTTTCGGTGGATGTGGGGGCAACATGGTTACCCATCGTGACGCAAATTGCGGATAACAGTTCTGAAAGTTTGCAGTATCGAGAGGATATGGGTTAGAAAATGTTGTAAATAGAGGATAGAATAAGACTACCGTAAGCTTAAACGCCTACGGGATCCGATCCGTTCAGAATTACTAAGCCTCGATGAGCTGGTTCTGAGGTAATAAGGCACTTAGCTGCAGATCAGCTATGATAGTAAACTAATCTGACACAACGGTGAGTACCGGTCCTTTTTACTAAAGTTGGTCATCACCCAAATCGAAAGCTACAACGTTTAGATGTGATCCCTTTTGTATTCTTCGCAACACAAGTCTTGACTACGGTAACCACTACAGTATGTATGCGTTACAGTTATCAATGTTATTTATTGTACCTCTCCAGCAACAATTCGCTCACTCACTCTCTAAAGATCTGGTCTGCAAAGGTGNGGTGGAATGGGCATTGAGGAAATTGAGTTAGCAAGAAGCAATTCAGCTCTCACGTTTCCTCAGCGTTCTTTCTCTAGACGCATCAATTTAGTCCTAAGATCGTGACAGTTTGAAAAGGTGGAACTACTTGGAAAGTTAAAGATTTTGAATTTTGAGATTTTCCTGAATCATTTTTCGTTTTGTCAATCTTCTTCTTTGACGTTCTTCCCACTTAAACAAGGGGTCAGCTTTCCTGATGTGTTGACGCCAATTCTTAATAGTCCCGGACCCCGAGGCTACCTTTAATTAAGATTATGCTTTTCTGACTTAATAACTTTCCCCAACCTAACAATCTCGGATCCAGAAGCATACCGTAAATATGATTCTCCCTTCACTAAGTTTAAGGTAGTCTAATAATACCTTCGGGGTCTCAATGCGAGAGCGGGAGGACACCACTCTCTTGAACGTCTACTAAGTTACAGTGGACTCGTCAGTTCTTCGTTTAGGAGCTTCTAATAAGCCCACATACACGCGAGAAACCCTTTATTCGAGATGGCGTGGGAAATACAAATAGTATACGGTGGGAAAAGTGCATTTCTGGGCCTCTATTACCTTCCTGCTAGTGTAGGCGGTAGAATTTCACCTGGGTTGTTGTCATCGTGATTGATACTTCCTGAATTTGTTTCCCGTGCGCACAACACGTTACATGTCTGGGTAGCTGGGCATTGTTTACTGTAAATAAAATGACTAATGACGTCATGACATTATCGCATAAGGAGGAATTTCAGATTACTTCACGAGTGTTGTAGGGCGTGGCCAAATCCCTGGTTGGACGGGTCGTATTCAAATGTTAAGAAAACGACTCGACGAATGTGGTGAGTGGAGGCTCAGGCATGCTGTTCCACACCTCCCGAGGGTCACTCATAAGGGGTCAGCCTTGTTTTGTTCTCCACTCTTTCTCAGTTGGTCTGTTCAGTACCTGCAAGTATCTGTTTTCTTCGATTTGTGGAAAACGTAGAAAATAACCAACTTTAGTCGAACCCGACAACTTCGTTCAATAAGTTTTGGAGGGCTTTTTTGGGCCTAATTATGTCTCATTGGTGGTCCAACAATTCGTCTCGTCTACTCTCGTTTTTGCTGAAGTTTATTCAAATTGCATATGTTTTTGTCAAATTATTGTGACCAGTAACGAAAGCACAGTGGTAAAGCGACATAGCGATTCATTTAGGAATCAGGAAGCATGATTTGTGAGTCACGATAGAGGGAAGGCATCAGCCAGGCTGTTCCAGCTAATAGTACTATGGGTTCCCTTTATTAGGAAGAGGGCTCAGCGCCCAGTGATTACCCGACAGTTTTCGTCACAGAGCACAACTATATCTGAGGCATGTACTCAGCCATTCTTTACGTTCGATGACACTCTTCTTTGGTCTACAAATGTTGGAGAATTCATTCTGATGCATATAGACAGATCTGTAATTCAGGCATCATCTGTGATGATCAGTTTCTAACAGGGACCTTATCGGGACGATTGATCCTTTCCTCTACCATGCTGTGTAGACAGCCACTCGTCATAGCTCTCTTTCATCACCAATGAATTAATCTATGGTAATCTATCTATTGATCTATGATGAAATCTTATTTTTAGTGTCATCAATTCATGTGGGTGAAACACATCAGCTGAATTACCAGACAGCAATGGTATGGGCAACTCTTCCTTGACTAGGCTGAAAATGCTCGAAGGTCAACAGTTCTTATCGTCTCCCAAATGATAACGCGAGAATCCCGAAGCAATTAATAAAAAAGCAATAAATTGGAACACATTTATTATTAAACAAGATGGCGCGTGACATTTGTGATACCCCCATGCATTATCAGTAGGACATTAATTTCTGCCTCACTACGAGAAAATGTTGATCGCTCAGGGCTCACGAAGTCTGTCACAAATCACACTTTCTTCGATAGGAACCATACACATGTAACTACTTTCCTCGGTCAGGATCATTGAAACTGTCCTGACTATTCAATTTTCAAAATTACTACATGGTATGTATCTCCCCGTCTTCCTCTCTAACGTTTGCTTCACTCGGGAGAGGGATCCATTCCTTTAGTACTCATGCCACTTTTCTAGATCAAACTCATGATAGGGGTGGAAAATCCCTCTGATTTCAAGTTCCTATGCCAAATCAGAGGAAAGCACTGCTACGGATCATGCTTAGACCGTTTTCTGGCACCTCTACGCTAGGGTAGATAACAAGATTATTTATAAATCAAGTAGAGTATTTATTTTATAAGATTTTAATAAAACCTGCTGCCAAGATGGTAAATAAATTCTTATCAACTTACGTTTCGGCGTTATCGCCTTCTTCAGAGTTGGAAACCTAAAGATATTCACTATCCATCCCTCATTCAACAATTTAACCTCAAAAACCGGTTCTCTAGACCTAATGTTTCCAAATGGGCATGATAACCCTTAAAACATTTAACCCACCTCCAACAACAACCGGTCGTTTAGACGACCGCCGCTAAACTGACCCATAGGGACTTGGGGTAGCTTTAGATGATATGCCCTATCCCTCCCGCCGTGATACCGGAGCCATATAAAACCCACAGAGGTCAGAGAAAGGCGCGAGTTCGCCAGCTACGGCTAGGCACTCGTCCTTCCTATTACGAATATAATANCCTAGCCGTAGCTGGCGAACTCGCGCCTTTCTCTGACCTCTGTGGGTTTTATATGGCTCCGGTATCACGGCGGGAGGGATAGGGCATATCATCTAAAGCTACCCCAAGTCCCTATGGGTCAGTTTAGCGGCGGTCGTCTAAACGACCGGTTGTTGTTGGAGGTGGGTTAAATGTTTTAAGGGTTATCATGCCCATTTGGAAACATTAGGTCTAGAGAACCGGTTTTTGAGGTTAAATTGTTGAATGAGGGATGGATAGTGAATATCTTTAGGTTTCCAACTCTGAAGAAGGCGATAACGCCGAAACGTAAGTTGATAAGAATTTATTTACCATCTTGGCAGCAGGTTTTATTAAAATCTTATAAAATAAATGCAAAGCTATGCCAAGATTTATCGAGAGTCGAACATGGACGCTTATGGAACAAGTAGAGTAATAATAACAGCTTATAGTAAACCGAATCCCCTTTTTTCTATTTGGGCCAGTGTGGCATCGTGCCTACCGTTTTGTTGACTTGGGTCTGAGGTCGTGGATTTTGACGGGGAGGGAAAGGAAGAACGGGACTCCTTGATGCTTCAAATAAGTACTCACAATTATCTCTAAAAGGAAATCCGGATCTGGTGCGTAGAAGAAAGCATAGAACGAACCCGACACAGGAAACTCAACCAAACTCTCCTTGAAAAAGCTTTTTGCTGGTTTTCCGATTCGAGCACTGCTACAATCCTGTTCAATTGATTCTATGATATCGTAAACACATGAACACTTCGATTTCAGTCCTAATCGTAAACAATTATGGAATGACTTATGACATTATGGAATGACTTATAACTTGGCTTGATAACCGACCGAAAAGAAGTGTTGTGAAGCAGGCTAAGCACATCTCTCACTGGTGTGCTGTTTGATCAGTGCGCCCGTTGCTCTTGCTTTCTGTTCCCTTGCTTCCTTCACAGGATTGCTTTGACGTTGTTATTTTTCACGTCCTTCGACTTTGTGCGATAAAATTAGCTTAATTCTGTTTCTGTTGCCATGAAAAATTTTATCCGATTTCAGATATGAAGCTAAGATGTGCTATATTAGTGGTTTCTTTCCTATATTTAGCCACAGCTCAGGGATGCAAGTACATCCGGGTTAGTTATAGTTTCATTTATATCAGTCATTTTATGTTTTCAAACAACAACGTCATATATGAAGTTATGATAATCGGATCCATAGACCGATCTGTCTGAAGGTGTTTCTGCCCTGCTATTCTAGTCATCGTTGGGAACAACTTAACCTCTGGTCCGCTACCGAACGCACATTCACGGATGGAACGAGGTCTTCAAGGGTTCATGTTCAAGCCGATTTGGCTTTTCCCTTCGATCGCCTGATTGGCACCGACAAATGCGTCGTAAGGGGAAAATATATAAGATGTATATGGTTTTGCCCTGGAATTCAGAGTATAGACCGAATAGAAATGCAACTAGAAATGAACTTCGAGTGTGTGGCGTACCATGGAAATATTGAATTTGAAGCTTTCAAAACAGAGCATGGGTATGAGATATGCCAAAGGAAGGCTATTTTCAGTACGAAACAGCAGCCGAAGCCGAACGTCGAGCTATATTCGAACGATGTTTGGTAAGCTGTAGTGAATCATCTCGAGATCCAAACCCATGCCATAATTGTATGGTGCCCTACAAAGCATATGGATGCCTTTTGAAAAAGGAAGAGGTTGGCAACTTTCTGTGAGACTTACCTCTCTTTAAATATTCGTAAGAATATATTAATTTTGATGTCTACGGTAAAGTCTTATTTTTGCTCATTATACTTCCGAGCGCAACCATCTCCAACATGTGGTTAGACATCTGACATGAGGGTGCTGCTTTTGCTCATGATTCTGAATTTTCTCCATGTGGTTATAGGTTCTATAGACCCAGTACCAAAAGAACTCATAAGGGACCTTGAAATTACCATGAAAAACTTTAACATCATCCGAATCCTTCTGGGCGAATCCAACTTCGACGCTACCTTTCAGTTGTTAATGTTGAGTGACTTTCGTGATATTAGGAAGTAAAGTTTAGAGAACTATGTATTTAATAATTACCTCATAGGCCTGACTCCCGCTGGGAGAGGAGAGATAGATAGAGAAGCCTAAACGGATTTGCTAGTACATCTAAATTACACGTTGCCCACTTACGTAAAGCAGAAACAGCTGTTCAGAGCTGGTAGCATTGGGTCATCCGATCACGGCATATCCTTGCAGCGCAGAACGAAGCCAACTCACATATTATATCATTTTTATGTATTGTACTATTAGGTTGAGTCATAAGTCCTCGGACAAATTGAAAATGATTATATTTCCCTTACAATTTTGAAACGATAATTGCGGATCATTTGAAATATGCCCCATTGGCATCGATGGTCTTCTGCCCACGCATGGGCAGATCGTAGATGTCTTTACTCCAGAACGCTGAGAATTGTCCCTTGGAGAACTGCTCAAGTGCCGCTATGAAGTCGTAGCTAGTTTAGAAGTCCTGGCCACCCAGATGACGTTGAAGATGGGAAGAAAGATGCTTATCCTGGGATTGGTGAATGTGGCAAAAATTGTCCAGCCGAAATTCATTAGTCCAGTTTTGGTCTTTCTTGCAACTTTCGGCCGAGCGTTTTCGTGTTGAGAGTAAACTTTTTGGGGCTGTGGAGGTGTAGCTTCAAGATTCGCCTTCAAATTCCTCAGTTTCTTGATGTGGTCGTCTGCGGTCACTGTACATCCTACGCCTAGCAGCTTCCAGTGTTCAACAGGGAACGCTCCACCAGATGCAAACCATAACCTTCTTTGCGCGTCCGTTCGATTTAGGGAAGTCTTCTGCATCCGCACCTTTGTCAACCCATTTACCACGCCGATGATTGTTAGAGTAGAGTCTTCTTCTCATCCCCCACGACTAGATGCTCGAGTAACGTTTGGGTGCGCTTGAACTTGGGATAGAAAGTGCCATGTCGGCGCAAAAATCCATATCATACTGCTTCAAAGCATGAGGCACCCATCGACCGAGCTTTCGCACCTTACCGATTGACCTCAATCCACGAATAACTGTGGACTGACTCTTCTCAATAGTGTCTGCCAGTCAACGAGTATTTTGATACGGACCAGCTTCTAACTGGCTCCGCGGCACGTCCAAATTCTACTCCATTGAGCGTCCCGGACGGTCTTCATCTTTGATGGAATGGTCGCCCGACGCGAACTTCGAGTGCGACTTGCAAATTATGCTTCTAACAGGGGTATCCTCCTTGTGAACTTCCGTTATACGTCTATTGATTGCCGCCAGTTCTTGGTCAGATAAAGAAAGAAATCGGATGGTGTTGTGGATTTGGAGTTGCGACTGCTTGAAATCATGGGGCATACTTGCAGAAAAGGAACCAGTCAGGTGTGTTCGTACCTATTTGTTTGAAAGTGCTTTGCATACTCTACTTAACGATGCCTAGCGCGTCCCGTCGTCGCGTTTAGTCACCTCTCTCCCGACTTATGTTCCCTAAAAGTCACCAGTATCACTTTGTGCGAGGACCTATGACTCAACCTAATAACAAGTATAGGTTGTTAGGTGGCGAAGAGAGGGTAACGGTTGATTATCGTGGAACATACATGTCAAAATCGACCAGGCTTCCTCTGCGTATATAGAGCAATATAAGGCTTCAAAAAAGTAGTTAATTGTTCCCCTTGTATGTGGTGTGCACACTGACTCCATACATATGACGAAGTAGTTTATCGAAAGAATTACATGCTCATTATTGATTTCCGATTTTTATAGCTGCTTGGTTGTGAGACGGACTGTGCACTGCAAGAAGACTTCGAACTTTTCGCAGCATGTCGTCTACGATGCGCTCAAAAACGGCGAACGCTGAAGAAGTTAAGAGGATTCAAAAAGCTACACAACTAATAAGACATCACGTGTCAGAGTGCATAATGTCATTATTCTGTCATGGATACTATTTACTCGACATGCCTATCGACAGAAAAGTTTCGCCACGGTCACTGTCCTGAGTTTTTCATAGGTCTGTTGAGTGCTTCAGAACTCATAGAACGTTGGTAAAACAGTTTGATATCTTATATTCGTGAATTTTTGTGACATTGTTTGATTGGATCACTCGCGCATCCATACGAGTTCAGTTGTTTGCGATTTCAGACCATTTCATCGTTGTTTCATTTATGACAATTTGTGGACCATTTCTTAATAGCATCGGAACTCTAAGTGTTCTAAACAGTTCGTACCTTCATTTTTTGACGGTATTTAGAATCAACCAAAGTAAAGCCGTAGCCTAAAACATTCCTTCGACGTGATCGGTAATTCCCTCTATATAAATTGTTTTCATGTCAACTTACAGTATGTCACCCTTTTAATGCACACATGCTAACATACAGTATCCATTTGTGCAATAAATTTTTACTTGAACTACGGGACCTATAATTGAGCAAGATTTTATAGTTTACTGTCCCACGAATTCGTGGACCCAGAAGTGGCTCCTAACAAAAGTTCACTACATGATCAACGAAAAATTACTGGCATTAATTCGTACACGAGGTAGACATGGCTCCATGCAGCCATCGCTGATGAACGATCTTTTCTAAGTCTTGTCTGAATCTTGAGAGTCTATGCCACGAGTACTGAAGCCATCCAGCATGAGAATGCTATAATGTAAGGCAAATCCGGAAGGAATTGCGATCAGAACCGTTACTTTCGTCAGTTAGAGGTTTGAAGGAGTTTTTCTCTAAAGAGGTTTCAAAGTAGCTTTTCCTTTATAACATGGCTCTGAAGAACCAAGTGTGCCCCACCAGTCGCTGTTGACCGAGTCGCCGAAGCCAGCATGTAATTCACGTGATCGGTGCTTAATGAAGCGATCACGGCGATAGAACGAGTTTCACTGATAGTATTATCAATACATCGAGATTTGCGGCGTAATTTCCGGAAGGTCAGGTGGTTGTTAAAATCGGATTACGCTGTGTGTTCGTGTTTCCCCAAAAACCCTGAGCTGATTGCATTTCCGCAGCATTCCTTGTATTTTCTGAGAAGGTCAAGATTTTCATTCAAAATGCAGAACAAATGTTCGGCTCCGGCAAACGCCAGCATTCGAGCTCCTCGTGGAATAGCAGGTTTGGATGAATGGGTGAAGTAGTCTATGTATGAGTGTGTTCCTGCAAAGTAGATTTTAGAATTCTGATTAACGAAGGTCATCTAGAAACATTCATGATCGATCAGCGTGGACTGCTCTGTATGACAAAGAGCTTGGTTGTAAGGCTGCCGTTTGTAAGAGGGTATCCAAGCTGACATGATGGATATAACTCGAATGAACGATTTGCTCAAATTTTCAGTGGTAAAGATTGCGTAGCTGACGTTGCGGCAAAAAAAAANAAAAAAAAACTGCCTACTACACGATTGAAATGTGACGGGTAGGACCAAAATAATGATATATCCGAAATATTAGTCAACTGGATAAGAACCCAAGTCCTAAAACTCACTGGATCAGCCTGGACTTGCCCTGATGCACCATAATGTAGTTCAGTGGTAGTATAGAATATAGATATCGGATCGGTACTCGAGTAAGCCACAACAACAAACCGATCAACACCAAGTTTATTAAGTACTCGCTTCTAAAGAGATTAGCAGCAATACGATACGTCGACAATATCAAAAAAACTAAAAGAAAATGCACCATCCTTATGACTTCTCCATCCATCCTTTGTGTCCTCATTTGGCGCGCGATCGGTGGATCACATTCCGACCAATTCCATGTAGATCTTGTCGATGTTGTATTCAGGCTCGGTGGCACTACCCCTATCGCTGGAAAAATGGCAAGGATGGTACGTTCGTGTTCAGTTCTACCGTATTGCTAAAAACTGCATTAGTTAAGATAAGCTAACGTACATATTTCAGAGTTATGAATGCAAACCATGGTGACGAAACCATGATGAAGTGGCTGAATAGACGCAAACTGGTCACATTAGAGGTGAAAATGGTGAAAACATGTGGATGTCAAGCGACACTCGCATGGACAAACTAAAAGCTGAGGATATGGTGAGATGATTGGGATTGAGCAGATTTTTTGAGTCCGATACAGAGAAGGTTCTTCGTAGAGCACCAAGGGTTGGTTCAGTGAATTGGAGACCAAAGGAGTTGGAAAAGAGAACTAGCTGACGATGCAGGTATTCAGTCGAGATGTTGGACACTATACACAGGTGATTCATAACCTTAATACGGAATTTGTTAGTGTGTCGTATTTCATTGATTCCAGATGGTTTGGCAATCGAGTAGGGAGCTGGGATGTGGCGTGAAAGTTTGCGACAAGTTCGTGCTTGCAGGTTGCCAGTATCAGAGACGGTGTGTTTATATCTTCAATTCTTCTCGCATTTCACACTTCATCCCATCTTCTCTTTTTCTATAATTCCGTTCCTGTTGCAAAGAATCGAGTTTAGAGGGAATTTCATCGGAGCGGACATCTACGAAAAAGGGAACACATGCTCAATGTGTAACTGCCCACAGTGCCATTGTGATCCTGGTGTTGGCCTTTGTGATGCCCCATGAATTCACTTCAGTAAATTTCTCCGTTCTTTAATTAGCTATTTATCGGATTTTCAATAACTTCATTAAGCGTGGTATCTGGCAATCCAGATGAAAGTTAGGATTGTCATTTGAGCATACAGCCATTCAGCCCATGTAGTTTCCAGAATGGATCGGAAATGAAAAAGGGAGAAGAGTAAAAACGTGGATTTATTGGATCTCAGGGCGGCACAAACAGAAGAAATTTCACTGTCACGTTAAATTCGCGGCAGAAGCATTAGAGTCAGGAAAAGCTGTCAACCCAGTCTCGGATTCTTAAGAGTAGAAGATACAAAAGAAGCATCTGAGGATCACACCATGTGCTCCGAAACGTTGCGCTACATATTCACATTTCGCATTCAAAACCTGATTGAGGTGATGCTTGCATGAAGGTTTAAAGCTAACTGGATTCGGCTAATATTTGTACAACCATGAAAACTTAAGGCGTTTTTCGGCTAGTATCGTCATGAAGTTCATGCTGTTTTAGATAATGGAAAGTATAAGCAGAATTCAAGTGGTTCTGGTGATTACTACCGAAAGGGAGTGAAGTAGTGCTCACGGGCGCACTATCACTCAAAAATGCTGGCTTATTACCCTCTTGCCTTGAACAGCATCCAAAGTCGATTACTGGTACTATACAGTGTCTTCTAAAAGTACTATACAGTCCAACAAGTGTATCGATTTGTTAACGTACTGTCTTTAATAGATTGAACAAATGTAGAGGATGGCCGAAGTAAGGTGCTCCTTTGAACTAACGCCGGATAAGATCTCCAAAGATTTTTAAGGGGGACAAGAACACTGTGCAATAGTCGAGGAGCAAACCCCCGACTTCCGCCTTTCGGGCGAAAGCACTACCACTGAGCCAAGTCGCACCGCAACTGCAATGCGACGAGTGCGCACCTCCAGTCAACACTACTTTAAAGGCATAGTACACGGTATTTTTGAAGTAGCCTTTTTAGGATGAAAAGCGGAAGCGTTAATCTTAGGAGTTCATTGGTGGCGGAGAAAGCGAGAAAATTTGCCGTCTTCAAGGTTTTTAAAAGTGGTGGGAAAGGAGGTTGTACGAGATCTTCATGACGGGAATTGCATATATGGGTCTTTGCACGAGATTTACCTTACTCCCATTGCTCAAAGAGATGACTGCATCAAGCCGAAGTTGCTCAAAACTGCCTTTAACTGTCGCCATAGGTTATGACAAGCAGTTTGAACTTCCTGAATAGAAGTCTCTTGAGATAGTGAAGCTCTACACAGCCATTGAAACTTGTTTACCATTAGGTGACATTCACACGGTACAATATCTGGCCCCTTTTGTGCCCTATCAAGGTCGTTTTACAGCCTCGTATCGGAATGGAACCTCGAATTCATATTATGGGGGAATAGAAACCGTTTTCATCGTGAACTGCGCCCTCAAGGAGATTTTGAGCGCTCCTATCACTTCTAGAAAGGTATTTTTCAGTTCTAAATTCCATATATGTATGTGAACAGCATTCAAAGCTCTACCGATACCCATGGGTCGATATTCAATGTTTCATGGTAAGTAGACTTCCCCTTCTTGGTGAGCTTTATCGCTTACTAGACCTATCCCCCTGAAAACACACCAGTACAAAACCCAAAATTCACAGGTTCGTGAATAGACCAACTTTTACTCTACCTACAAGGACTCAATCTTCACAAAAAAACTTTTCACGCTCTAACAACCTTAGAGGCACAGTTCAATAATTCGAGTTGGAGGGACTGGAAAGCCCTGCTTTTTCGCCCTCAATCGATGTAAAGTCAGACGAGTGTCAAGACAATACAGATTGCAACGAATCGTTCTAGGACCCACACACAATCAGCTGATCGCCGTATGATGAGGCGATGTTTTTCTCCTATCCCTATTTCCTCTGTTATTCTTTTTGCTGCCGCGATCCCTTTTTTAATTTCCTACTCCTAGAGGCTGAAAAGGTAAGCTACTCCTGCTGTCACTAGGGTTTTTTTTGTTTACTTATGCTTACCATAGTCTGTTATTCGCACCAGGGCGCACACGTACGCAGTGAAACACATTGTATAGCTCATCCAAACGCCCCACTCTTCTTCATTTTTCTAGTCCCATTCTCGTCCAGTTCCCTTTTCAACGATTTTTCGAAGCCTTTTTCCACTCTAGAAACATCGATTCACGCAGTTTCTCCACCTTCGTCGCACTTTTTTCGACCTTGTCTTCCATTTTTCATCATAATACCCAAAATTATCGTGAACTGTGCCTTTAGGAGCACCAGAAATATGGATGCAAGAAAGGATTCATATTGCTGAGAACTCGAAGATAGCCATATCTGGCATTTATATTGTAAAACAATTCGCAGTCGTAAATGTACAGTAATTCATGAAGTAGGGACGGTTCCGAATAGAGTTCAACAGGAAAGAAGAGTCACTCTAAAAAATGATATAATTGACAACACTTGGAGTTAGGGATGAGATACAACAACATAGCACAACATTGAGAACAACAGAACCACTCAGTAAAACACTCGAGATCATTAGTGAAATGGACTAGAAGTCAGTTGACGGATCCTAAGAACGCGATAACTTTATCTAAGAACTTTGAGTTGATATGCAATCACCACGTTTTGCTTCCCTAGAGAGCATGTTACTATGACGCTCCTATAACGACACCTCAAAGAAGTCAGATGGAATCTGTTCTCGATCGAAGATTGGTTTCCGTGCGCTCTGAACATGTACTTTAAACATCAAATACTTCACAAAATTTCAATACATAGAGCTTTTGCCTGGCGTGATATCAAAGCTGCTGTGTATTCATGATCGTATAATAAATTCCCAGCCCTTTAATCACTTTCAAGCCAGTTGCCACCCACTTCGATATCCAAAAATTCTAAAGAGCGATTTTGCCTGCCGCTGACAGCCCATTTACTCACGAATTGTAGAATTCGGGGGTCAGATTCAATTCACTTTTTTCCATGATTGTAAGCATTTGGAATGTTGGCTGGATGCCTTGGCTACATCATTACACAAGAAACCCATGCAAAGAGGGCCTCATTCATTTTAAAATGCAAAGAAAATATTACAGATCTCTTACTTCAGTCCGTCGATACGAGATCTTGTCACACTGACAGGACGGTGGGTTGCACTTCAAGCCAGTTGTCACCCACTTCGATATCCAAAAATTTTAAAGAGCGATTTTGCCTGCCGCTGACAGCCCATTTACTCACGAATTGTAGAATTCGGGGGTCAGATTCAATTCACTTTTTTCCATGATTGTAAGCATTTGGAATGTTGGCTGGATGCCTTGGCTACATCATTACACAAGAAACCCATGCAAAGAGGGCCTCATTCATTAAAAATGCAAAGAAAATATTACAAATCTCTTACTTCAGTCCGTCGATACGAGATCTTGTCACACTGACAGGACGGTGGGTTGCAGCAAGGCGTCAGCTGGAATCATCCAATTTTTTTTACTGAAGAAGGGCCTTCCGTTAATGCTAGTGGATAGTCTACTTACTTGCTTGTTGAAGTGACCAAGTTGGTTAGGTACTGGTATTAAGGACTCGCGATGTTCTTTTAGAACTTGAGCACCCAACGCTCTCATCTGAAAAATTGCGTAGGTGTGGAAGTTAAGTGGAATATTCATCACGTACACTTACTGGTTAGTAGATACCACCTACCTCAAGAACATATTCGCTTTCCTCAAGGGCGAATCGTTCATAGGGATCTTTAACCAGATCGAATACCAGCGGTGGGTTGTGCATGATGAGCTGTTCATCAGGGCATGTTTGTGAGACGTACCTTGAAATGCAGAGTTCTATGATCTTACAAGGAGCTTCTTATTCACAAATCTTCAACCCATCAGAAGAAACTCCACCCTATATTACAGGTATATGACATCTCGGTCAACGCATCCCCATTGTAAATGCAGTGAACGTGAAGTCCTACTTTTTCTCATAATTCCTGCCTGTTCTTATACTACTTACCTTCAATTGGTAAACATGAAATGAAAAATTCACAAAGTTTTTGATCGTTATGGGAAAAGGTGGGCTAGTATTAAGTTCTTCACTCTCACCCCTTCTCCCCTACTCCTTCATTTTCCCCTTCGTACCCAGCACCGGCTGAATATGAACTTGTTAAAAAGTAAATGAGTGCATGGCTACAAATTCTAGCCAATTAAAAGAAACTCCGGGGAGTAGTGAACTTCAGCACCTCAGCCGATACCTCAATAGCCATTTTGATCCCCTCCCTCATGAGATTCGGAAAATGCAATTCTAAATGGGCCTCCTTAGCAAAAAATTTGCAATTCTAAACCCTCACACAATACATGGCGCCCAGAAATCTGAGGCGAAATCGAAAAGGAAATCAAATCTACCAACCAGTCCGCACGAGGTTTTCCGTTCGGGCAAAAGTAGGGAAGGTTTGGATCAACGGTATCGTTGAAGAATATCGGAGATGTTCGATAGTGAATCTGAAATTTTAGGCGATCTTTGCTCATCGAATTTCCCATTACGAATGCTTTCCGTTTGGAAATCATCTTTTTAAAATACCCTGAAAAGTTTTAGACTCCTTCTAATGAATCCGCCTATAATGACTGCAATTATTTTTGATTTCAAGTGACATTTGTCTTTTATGAAACATTTACCATAGGATAAATTCTTCGCAGAACTCTCCTAGAAAACCATTCACACGAGAAACTAAAGACCAAGTGAATTACAACGGTCGTTCTCATTATATCCCTCATTTCTCTTGAGCATTTAAAACGTACGACACCTTTGAGCACATGTGGTAACAGTATGGCTCATATTGTTGGAAAAGAATCAAGTGGTATTTGGTCGAGACTTCCTCGGTACATATGCATAGAAGTAAAAGGCACAGGTAGTTGTGGGATAGTATGTACAGCTATTTTTAGCGTGTGAAAAAACACCACGTGAGCCCTACACAAAAAGTGTGGGGACGTCGAAGGAAGGTCTCGTGAACGTATTTTCTATATATAAATATGTAGGAAATTCTACCGTACTTGTTAAAGAGTAGGCAGCTTTGGACCGAAACATATACCGTCCGGATTCCTCGGGTTGTTAAACGAATATCGCCATGCCCGCCGAACCACTAATCTACACCTAATTAATCCTGCTCACTTGGAAGGCATGGAGTAATTATGCTATAGCTTCTAGCTTCTTGATGTCCAAGATATGTGGGCAAGATTGGTTTGTGGCGGAGACGTGGGGAGAAGTACCAGAGTCCAGATCCCTGAGAAGTAACCAGCTATCCAACCAGGAGTTATCATCACGTGTTATGCTGATTCCACACATTCTCAGGAACGGATGCATTGTCCGCTTCCAAAATAGGCTTTCCGATTGCTAGTCGGTGAGAGTTTTATTTGTGAATAGAATGGGATCTAGTCATCAGACGTACCAATTAATAGACAACACAAGGAGGAAGGTCCGGTTGGCTTCAGCAGATACCGATTCGATTTTCTAACCATGTGCGTAAGACTGTTTTCTCAACTTCGCATCCAAAGTGATCCTAAAGCGGTTACAAAAAGAAATCAGGCGGTGAAATAAGCAGAGACCCTCACCCATTACTCTCCGTACACACTTTCCATAGAGACAATATTAGTTCCAATGAAAATTTTTTTGCTGACCTTCATGTTGCCGATTCGAATCGCCATCAGTTTTGTATTGCAATAAAAGATGATCGGTCTCTTTCGCCCGAGATACCCCGATGGCTCGTCGCTTGTTCCCAGCAACTCGTCCAGTATGTTCGTCCCGTCTAGTGGCATTTGCATCGTCTAAAAGAAAGTCTCGCTAAAAAGTCGTAGTGCATTCCTGTTGTTATTGTCAGTCTCGTTCTAATGAAGTTAAGCCATTATTCAGGGTAAGGGAAGTCCCTATTCAGCTCACCTTGAAAGGACATGTCTGCATTTCCCTAAATGTTGCGTACAGATCCATGCTGGAAATAACTTCATTTGACACTCGTCCTGCTTTTACCGTACCGGGCTGCCAAGCGATGAGTGGAATTCGAAAACCTCCTTCATAGGAATTAGATTTTCCTCCTGAAATGGGACGACTTTATAAGCAGAGCTAAACTCTGACAGGGATGAACAGCACCTTTGAGACCAGCTGTAGAGCCTCCGTTCAGGCATAGCTCAATGTGTGGTCCATGGTCGGACATTAGGATGACAAGCGTATTTTCGGCTATTCCAGCTTTGACTATGCTGTTCAGCACCTCACCGACCGCCCATGACATTTCGTTGATAGAGTCGCCGTAAATGCCTGTAACATAATATCATAATGACACCTTTGGGACCATCAATAACCATAATTGGTATCAACTAATACAGACAAAGGCGTACGTGGTTCAGTGGCATGTGAAGAGCAATATCCCACTGCATGGTCAGAAAATCGATTAAAGGCACTGTTCACGAAAAAATGGTTTCGGAGATCTGCACATGGTTTGAATTCGACGCCCCTCTGATACCANCGCCCCTCGCTAGGCTGACTACGAAATCTAATTGCCGTTCATCGCTTTCGCATTGGGTGAAGTTGTCTGCTTGGGTGTGTTGTCTGCTATTGCAGACATTGGGTCGCCTTCCTGCACTCGCCCGAGCACTCCCTTAACCGCCGTTCTTCCAATGTGAAACTCGTCCAACCCCCCTTTCCAGCTCTTTTTGACCCTTTCTATTTCTTTTTGTTCATCGTTTTTTGCGCTTTTTTCGTTGTTATCGCTTTATTCTAGAGTAGTTCTATGAGTTCCCGTCAAAAAAGGGTACCCTAAATTTATCGTAAATGGTGCCTTTAAGATCTATATCTGACCAGGACAACCAAGCTTACGGACTTTCCGGGACCTGTTGGTCATTTCCAGACCGGGGAATGGAGGCATTCAAATATACATCGACGGGCCTTCTCAAGCAACTGTATAGGCTATCTACGTATTCAGAACGCCACTACGATTCAGAATGAAGGTCGTATAAGGGGCACATTCCCAGAACGAGGTTGATCCCAGAGACTTTACCCTTCCATCTTAGTACGGAAAAGCGCCAATTTTCACTGATAACTTCACTTTGTCTCATACCGTGGAGATAAGAAGAGTGTGAGGGGGAAAACAAGAAATACCTACGTGCTGTTCGTACAGCAGATGGTACAATGAGTTAGTCACAGACAGGTGATCAACTATGAAGTGTGAAACGGATGTGAGTTGGTTTCAAGAAGTTTTCTTAGCAAGGAGCAAGCACTAGAACAACACCCGCCTAGGTCAGCCGAACATTCATCCATCCCCGATTAATTAGTTGGTAGCAAGCTCGTATGGGAAGACTTTGTATAGGCCAGAAAAGACACTACGGTTTCGAACAGGAGTGGAATGCCTCAGTTGGTCCCATCGCCGGACAATCAAATAAAAAAACTACATCCGCTTATAAGGAAGTACAAGGAAGAGAGGCACATTAAGTTCGCATAGAAATATGCTTCGACAATTTCGCAAATTTTCACGGAGTGAACCCCAAAGCGTTCCTTGCCGATTCATAGGTAATTACTTGTAGCACAAAAATCAGCGATAGTGCGTCAAAGATGAATATTTTTTGAAAGTAACTCGTTCAAAATATCCAAACTCACCGCGAACAGAAGAACCTCGAAAGTCTGCATTTGCAAATTGGGCGCTATGCACTTGTGGGAAGGAGAAATAAAAGAAGAACGGGCGCTCCTTTTGATCCTGAACAGAATGATGAAGGGAGAATAGCTTTTACGTGTCTGCTGAGTTTCAAATTCTCAACCAGCTGAGCAGAATTCCCTTTTCTTCAGAAAGGTCATGCTTTTTTTTTGATAATCGATATCCTTCTCTCTTTTGACTACAGCCTGTCAGGAAAAAGAAATAAGGCGACGACGTACCGTAGTCATCCTCATGTGCAGAAATCGCCTCCAATCATGAACGAGATTTTCGGTCATCCATTCAAATCTTAGCGGTTGCTGGACAATCTCGTCGCCATCATAGAGAAAGCACATCGCGGCATCTGGCCCTTGTGGGTAGAATTCCTGAACAGTCCATTTACGCAGCATTTGGATCTTTAAAATTGAACAAACGCCTTCAATGAAAGCGCACATTTCAACAAGCTGTCTCCTGTTTGAACCTCTTGAGACCGAAGAATTGTCGGCTTGTAAATTTTCCGAATTTCGTTCGAAGGACCTTTTGGGGAAGTCGAATATTCAAATTGTTTTGAGGAGCTGACCATATCATGGCTTAGGCTTACCCTTACATACATATGCGGGTGTGCCTTCGCACTTCATGTTTTCGATGTAAATATGTTCCTTGTTTCCATGGGCCCACCACCAGAATTCGGCTACAGGGCATCCAGTGTGGCTTCTCTGGATTGGGGGCTCTTTTACACATTCACCAGATCAGTCGAGTCATGGAATAGGAAAAAGGGAAAGTGGGAACTGAACAAGCAAGTGATTCCGATGAATGCAAGCATGTAATGGGATCCCAATGACGTCGTCGTCTCTCAACTCAACAAAGCTGATAATAAACAGGTAATCACAAACTACAAAAGGAAGTGAGGATCTAGCAGCAAGTAGGTAGTCACGGACTGAAAATGAAGGCTCTAGCTATCTAGTTCCTTCTACAAATTTGATCGTAGTTTTCTTTGATCATGGACCGATGACATGATGACTGCACGGCTAGCTGCTATATTGAAACGGCTTAAGGTAAAAAGTTCTGTGGGTAATAGTCTGCGGGGATTTTCTGATTATTTCTCATCTACAATGTAAAGTAACCATGAAACGGAGCACAGAGCAGTGCAGAGTATCCACGATTGTTGCCTATCAAACGGTTCCATTGCGAGGCTTCTTCGACGCCTCGACTATGTGGAGATGATTGGGAAAGTCAGAGGGACGTCTTCTTATTTAGATGTTTCGAGGCATTTTTCCTGCAACCATGGGCCTAACAAATGTGTGTACTCACGAATAATTTTGGTCACTTCCGGGAATCTGGGCAACTTCGGCCCGCAAATGTACAGGGACCTTTCCATGTTGTGGAGTACACACCCTTGATTTCTTCAATTCTCTATCGTTTGATGATTACCACAGAATCCGCTGTTCTACCTAACTGTTCATGAGGTCAGACCAAAGAAGATTGTTAGCATTGTTGAATGGATTCACATAAATAACACATTGCGTGTACAACTGATAAAGGTATAAATGCTGCTATTTCCTAATGAAAGCTAGGGTGAGCTTTGACGCGTTGGGTCTTTCATGAATTTTTCAGTCGAAATGATAGCTACCTGTCCTTCACGCTATGTCCTTTAATGTATGCGTGAGATGATGTCAGGAGCCGTGTTTCGTTTGACATCATCACCCGCATACGTCGATGGTGAGCATCCAATGGTGAACAGTACATGCGGAAGTTATTGGGCGCCCAACCGGGGATGATTTGTTTTCGGAATAACTTCTCTTGTTTTGAGTCAAACTACGTAAATGTTTTTTTTTNACCTGCGTAGTATCGCAAGCCCATGTGTTTGTGAACGGTAGATTGAGACCCACAAAGTCGAAACCCCGTCTTGAAGGCAAGTGAGCTCCGTCGGTGCTGTTCAGTTCGTTGATGCCAAGGTGCCATTTACCGATCATTCCAGTCGCGTAACCTAGAAAGTAAACGGTGATGGAAAACAGTGATATACATAGGAGTCCATGCTTATCCTTAGAATATGGGACTATGTGGTGTAAGCAGTGGATCTGGAATAATAAAGCTTTGAGATGTTCAGTACCCGTTGGCTGCCATATAGTGATTACATACCCATGGTCACTACGATTCCGAATAGAAGTCAAATACCTAGGGAAATCTCTAAACACGACTGATCAACTCCAATAAAGCCATCGTCGAATACTCATTGGAAAGCCACTACGGTCTTACATTTCTATGGATGTTAGAGATGAGAATAGCGATACGCACAGAAACCTTTTCGGGTCTATAGGATATCCGCTCAGTATTTTAATAGATATTCCTAGAGGCTGAGGCTCCATTGGATATCCCCTTACCGCTTCAGATATTCTGAGCAGGTGATGTGGAGTTTTAGCTCATTTGTTGCCTTTATTCAAATACAAAACTTTGTTCAAGGTGAAATATGACGTCCCGTACTCGATGTCGTTCAGTCACTTGGAAATTCTGAGCTTCCAGAGCTGTATCAAGTAAATTGTCATTGTATATAACTGTAGCAGTAGTTCGGAGACTGTAGGAGTAGCTCGAAGCTTGCAAGACAAGGGGCCTTGTTAGAACTCGTGCTCAGCAATGCTCTAACAGTCGCTAGTGAATGGAAGATTATTGCATTCTGAATATCTCAGTCCCATGGCAAAGTATACATAAACGGTCTGAATACGAAACCCCCAGTGAGCATAGGTAACTCTTCAATCATTCAAACGGATACCCACCTGCTTCCTTGAGCATCTCGGCCATCGTCGTCTCTTGTTTTGGCAGACCTCCAATATCAAATGGCATAAACACTCGTCTTCCGCCGACGACTCCGAGACGAATTGGTAATCGGCCTAGCAATGATATAATATGAAATTTGAAGGGTTCGAGAAAGGAGGGAGGGGTCGTTATTCCTAATAGCTCAGGCGGACTTCGTTTGCAACTATTTCTCGAGATGGCTTTCTAGATGGGGGAGACGAGTAGAGTAGGGTTAGTAATCTAATCGCACTCATGTATCGGACAATGGTAATTTTCAAATGTGCTCGATAGCATATGGACGCGTACATCAATGGGATCCGCAGGAATTTTGAAACTGTCTGGCAAAATGGTTGGAAAACCTAACCTGCGTCAGAATCGCAGTCTTTTCCTTCAACACGCTACTAACCTGTCATAAAACCAGCTCGACTTGGGCTGCACATGCTGTCAGCCGAGTAAGCCTGCGTGAATCTCGTTCCTTCATTTGCCATTCGATCTATTTCAGTATATTCCTGAGTTGGATGGCCGTACGAGGCGATGTCGCCCCAACCTAAATAGTAATATTCAGCAAGCTAGTGGAAGCCATCATTACTAACATTTCAAGGTAAGGTGAAATCCAGCTTTCATTGTCTAATAATGATTACTTGATTATTCAACACTTACAAGAGAGATTATTCAACACTTACATGAGTCAATCATCTCTCAATGACCGCAATAGGAAAGGCTTTGATTTGTCTGTTTTAACTGTTCGAAAATTGATGCGAATCATGATGCTCTGTGTTTCCTCTTCTCTTTGTGTGAAAACGCTTTTTGCAAACATAATAATGTTGCTGCATCACTATTCGAATGCCAAGATATTTACTAAACCTACAGTTTCAGAGAGGATCGCTGTGTGGGAGAAATGGCTTAGGAGAAAACCGAGATGTAACAGGACCAACTAAATGTCACCAGCAGTACAGTTCCCTGCAGGTTCGAAAGTTTTCTTGCTACTTCGTGATTTCTACTCTGAATATGAATGGTCGTGAAAGCCGTTCTGCTGTCAGTGACTGTAGATTTGAGGTTTTGAGGAATTATAGTACATATTACTGGCTTATAATAGCAGGAGAAAGAGTTATGAGCATCACGACTGCTTCGGTATAAATAGAAAGAAAGTTAAAGTCAATAAAGATCGACAATCTGTTTCGAGAATCGATGGGATTGCCGGTATAAGTTTCCAGGTTTATTCTACTTGAGCAACAGGAGAGGCTATTTATTTGAGCGTCTTGCATCTTATGGAAGAAAGTGGTTCCTTCGAACCAGTTGGAGAAAATCGACACACTAGTTGAGCCTCAACAAATCTCATCACTACTTCTCTTGACCAGGTTTAATTCGTTACAGCTCCCACAACCCAATGAATCCGATGAAAAAGCACGACAGACGAGAACCTTTTGCAACAGATTGGATGCACCAGAGGGTTTAGCTGCTACGTCTCTGTCAAACGGGTATGTGTACGAACGTGCGTCCGAGGATGCGCGCGGCAATTTGCGCGGCGAAGTTCGTAATGATTTGAACGACTTTGGCGCCTATCATTAGGGCCCAAATTTGAAATAGAGTGGATTAGGAGTATCATCTGACCCTACTAAACTACACTACTTCGAGTTTATGCCCAGAAAATTGGCGCCGCAGCCGTANAAATCGTCACGAACTTCGCCGCGCAATTTGTCGCGCACACCCTCGGACGCACGTTCGCACCGTCCCCCCTGTCAAACGATGGAGGAGGACTCGTGCTTCTTTGCGACAACATTGAACAGAGCAGAGCTTGAGCTGCAGAATTTGGAAGACTTCGGATACAGACTTTGTCTCATCCATCCATCATTCGAACCTGTCTCCTACAGCTTCTTCTACCATCTCAAGCGTTGTTTGAATTAGGAATGCTTCAGCGAGCAAGTTTATGCACGAATTTTACAATTTTTATGTCTCACGCTTCATTAATAATTTAATTCTCTGTTCATTTTCTTTGTATGTTGTATATAGATTGTAAAACTATCTTATAATTTTGGCTAACTTCCTACTCTACTCCTTTTTATTTGTTTCTTGTTGTATAGTTTCAATTTTCATTTAGATTGGGAAAGCTAACGTGTAGCCAAGATATGTTAAGCGTCACCGACGCTCAAATCATCAGTTCCGGGAAGCTTCTCCATAAAGTTGTCCTATTTCCTTTCAGCTTTAAAAGCGGAAGGTAGAGTTAAATGCAATTGTGTCTTTTTCATGCTTGGTTTGTGGAACTTATGTAAAAAGTATGTCCGGAGATTACGAACTATGAAACCTTATGTTTGACAAGTGCATAGTATTTTTAGAAAGGTTAAACAGCAAACCTCATAATTACAACGATAACATTTATATCACCAGATATTAGTACATAGAAAAAAGGAAATTGATTTATAATTACTTAATCCCTCTGTGGTTTACCTAATGATTCTGTACAGTAGCCAGGAACTGTTTGAGAGTTTTGGATGAATTCCGCGATTAATGATGAGCTTCATTCGGGATAATTCCACTAACTATCCACTTTTAATTTCCATATCCCATCATACAGAACAATAATATCATTTGATAGCCCCGTCCGTATTACAGGGAACGTGAATGCCGTAATGCCTATGCGACCGTGCCTCATCAAGGCGGTGGTGTGGGATGTGTTCTGTGCTTGTCGTTTTAGCAAAAAGAGCCACTGAAAATGATAAGTAGTCGGGATCTAGGGGTAGTAGCATTCAGCACTCAGTGTCTAGAGCTATGGAAGCAACTAAACGTGGCAGAATTTTAACCTTGTAGATGAGCCATCCACCCCCTGTAATGTTACTCTCAGATTCGCCGCAAAGGACGTAGGACTGATAGACAGAATTGATTTTTTGAAGATTATTCTAGAACGTACCCATATCATCGACCATGAGTATGACTATATTCGGATGAGAAGGTGAAGGCGGTTGGACGCACGTCTGTGCTGACGTCCACAACGTCCACAGTAAAACTGGTAACATTCTGAAAGTGGCTTCATTGATTCAAGGTATTTTCGGGCGAGATAAAGAAAAAGCGAGGTAACAAATACGTCGAAATAGCTGTGCTGAGCATGAAGTAGATCTCGAATCACGCTTGTTAAAGGGATTAGACTATAGAAGAGTAGAGAGACTACGCGGAGCATAAACTCTGAAGCGTTTGTTTTCACCGCCTCTGAGTAGTTTTTGAACTAGTGAAACCAAGTGACTCCTAGGAATGATACTGATCCAGTGGAGCTACACCAGAAAACCGGTCGATCGTATAGAACTGGAAGACTCGGGAGTGATTCTAACATCGATGGCGCATGCGACCCAGCTGAGAGATGTCGTTGCTCAAGATTGAGCTCCTGCCACCTAGATGTTCTCGACGAATTAGCAGTCTTGACCATTCTGGAACAAGCAGCCTACATGACGACTGTATGTGATTGAGGCGGAGCCTTCGACGGTTGCGCCACACCCCCTTTGTAATCTTACAGTAGTCCTAATCAATCGCTGAGCTTTGAAGCATTAAATAAGGAGGTGTTCAATCGTACCAAATTAGCAGGCCACTACTATCACAAACAGCAAAGCTCCACTCCACGTGGTGAGCCGTCATTACATTAGGAAATGGTTGAGTGCAAACATCCGGTTTGAGTAGGAGAGCCACATCATCTTAGATCTTGAGGAAAAAGGCAAGGGGTGAAATCAGCGAAAGAATGCTTCATTTGAGCAAAGATCTTGTTTCCGTTATCTGCGGGCCAAACGATATCATATGGCTGGAAGTTTTGTAATGATTTCTTTTTGAAATGTGCAACTAAACGATGGGGAATAGTTATTCTCAACTTCAAAACTGCGCTGTCTATCTTTTAGGTGATCGGTTGTTCGGTCTTAGAGGTAAGAGCTAGTGAACGCTTTGTTAAATCAGTGGGTCATATAGAACACAAATCAACCGCGGCTAGAATGTGAACGAGAGCTCGCTTTCTAACTGCGGATTGGGGGCCCTTGAAGATTCTTTCTTTTAGACTCCATATTTGGACGCCATATCGTGGATACAGTTGTGAATTCATTCGAATCAACTCAAACTTCGGGGAGTGAGAAGCCAAAGCGGATACTTTACTAATCCGCCAAAAAATTAAATAAAGCGCTGTACTGATTCGCTATCCGGAGTAAAGAGTCTCTCTTCCTAACAGAACTCTACTGTTAAAACGCCACGATTCTACCCCTCCTCTCACCAGTTTCCCCTCCCGTTTGTGCCGGAACTGTGTTCATGAGGTGTCTTTCCACGATCCTGGTATAGGATGAGACTAACAATAGTACCTGCCTAGTATTCGACCTAAGTATTCAGGAAAATGTCAGCAATGTACAGCTGGAGATATGAGAGCAGCGCCTGGTATGGTACGGGCATGTTGTGGGAAGGCCATCGGACTATCCAATGAGAAGGGCGCTGGTGTTCGAGCTGAAGGAAGGGAAGCATCCAAGTGGATCCACAAAGGAGTGGTGGCGGGACGAGGTCAAGAAAGGCCTTCTCGAGGCGAACCTCAAGGTAGGAGATGCCACAGATAAAAAAAAGTGAATTCTCATGAGAACAGCTCACCCTGCGACTTCGAAGAAATCGGGCTAAGGTCACACCTACAGTATCTTTCTTTGCTGCTAGTCAAGATCGGAGTGAGGCTTGCAGGAAGCCAAGCGAATCTACGGCTACC